GGTGAAAATTTTACTACAGATTTTCAGTAATTTCTTGAAACACTCTGTCAGTAAATCAGCACCATGTCGGGGTCTCTTGGGTGCAAAGTTTTGCTCCACAACCCCTCTTTTGTTGCCAATGAAGTTTAGTTTTACTTTTGGACAAACAGGACAACCATTTCATCCATTCAGTTCCTGCTGTATTATGCAACTAGTTGGAAAATGCTGTAATGACTGTAGAAGAGGCACATGAATTCAAAGAAGTGCAAATATCTGGTTGTTAATGTTTAAGACCTGCTCATCAGCAGTAAATTAGACTTTGTGCATCCCTGTGTACCAATCCAATTGATACAATCAACTGGGTCTCCTGATCAGAAAGAATCCCCACACAAATGAAGGAGCAAAGTGGGATCCTGCTACCAAAAGTGAATTACTAAATTGAAAGTATGCTTAAATTAGCTGTTTCCCTCCATGACACTTAAGCCAGGTCATAACCCTGTATAAAATGCACTCCCATGAACACCCACTGGCTCCAGTAAAACCTCAGTGAGATCACAAAATGGGAAATACAAACAAAATATCCCAGACAGTCTTAGGTGGAAATAAATAATGTCTTTTTCCGCACAGCAAATATGCTACTGGTAAAAAAGCATTTTTCTTCATATATAATTAAATATTTATACACCCTCAATCATACAATAAAAAAGATGATACTTATTTTCCCAAGTCCTCTGACTGAAATGAACAAATCCTCTATAAATTGGCTGTTGATCTGTATGCAGGCAAAGATTAAACAGATTTGCTGGATTATTCATCAAACCATTGTGTCCATTTAATCCTTGACTTTGCTCAAAAGAGGCAAATTTATCTGTCATGCCAAAAGCTGGAATTAAAATATTGAACTTGATGGATGACTGTCAGGACTAGAGGGGCAGCAAAGCCCTCTGGAGAGAAAGCTGTTGTAGTTGTGCTGAGTCCTAAGAGCAGCACAACAGCAAGGACAAGGAGATGAACCACAGGGTTGCCCATGGAATTGAGCAATGCTGGGCATTGCTTTGGCATTTCAAAACACTCTCCCCACAGAGTCCCTTCGTTTTTAAAGCAGGGTCACTCAGGGCAGGACCAGCTAAGCTGTTGTACCTGTCCCTTTGCACTTCCCATCGCTGCTGCTCCCCAGCTCGGTGATGACAAATAAAGCAAATGTGCTTGGGAAGGGCAGGATGTGACAGCCTGTCCAGAGGACTTTGGTCAGGTTTCCAGACCTACACCTTCCCTGCTGGAAGATGGGCCTCCAAATCCTGCCTATTATTTAGCTGTATTTTGGAACTGAATGTAAGTAAACGTAAGCACCAGGTGGTAAACACCTGACTGACTACCTACAGACAGACATTGTTTTGCTTTTCAGGATAATGGCAACAGAGCAAGAGCTTTGCCGTCCTCATCCATCCCTGTACGGATCAGTGTGGTTGGAAATGTTGCTGTGAAATGAATCTCCCAGGGTCATGGCTTTTATACACACCCTGAGCACTCTTCTAAACAAAGCAGCAGCATTTCAATTCACAAAGCAGCAGCATTTTCAATGATGACTGGCAGGGTCATTGTGTTTTGCTGTTTGTTTGCTTGCCTGTTTTCCTGTTTGGTGGTTTGTTTGTTTTTTGTTTTTGTTTTTTTTTTGAGAAAGAGCAAGCATTTGTTCAGCTGACATGGCATTAATGAGGTGCTAATTCTATTTATCCTGCTGCTCCAGTATTTCACACAATAGTGGTTTTCTGCCTTGGGAGATCTGGGTCTTACACAGATAGGAAAAGATGAACTGAATCAATACAGATAGAAATACACAAATATATCCATGGTTTTAATGCATTGAAAATGAGCCCTGTATTTTATTATAAATCCTTTATTCATAGGGAAAAATAGTTTTCCCATGTGTATCAGAAATGAACATTGATCAAATCATTGCAAAAACTAAAGCAAACCTGATTTTCTTCTGGACCTAGAAAGCCAATAAAAGCATCTCAGAATTACAGTGACAGAGGAAAGATAAATTGTGTGCTTCAAAACAAATATATCTTCAAACCAATTTAATACTCAAAGGATCTGAGAAAGAGGGAGGAGGAGCTTTCACTTCATGCCTTTCTTTACATAGAATTTCCTCATAAATGGAGATGAAAATTGCTATCTAGATGTGGGAAGTCGCACATAAAGCATTACCAATTTCCATTTACAAGCAAATTAGCAATTATGGCATAGTCTTAAAATACTATACTGGGTTTAAAGCTGAATTAGACAGTCATTACAAAGGAGGAGTCAAAAAATTCTTGTTTTTTCTCCCTTGTTCAGGTTTTTTTGCTCAGGCATCACCTTACACAGCCTTTTCCCTGCTTTCTGAGTTCTCCGCTTCTGAGCTTGCAAGCTGTGTCCTCTCACTCAACCCTACTTCTCCAGCACTGATTTTCTGCATGAACAGGGAGGCACAGTACAGCAGATCCCTGCTCCATAAGCTGTTTCCAATTACTTCAGCCCTTTCCATTGTGAGGATGCTCCAAAATCCTTTGTTCAAGTCAGCTTCTTATTACAGTACATACATATTTGCAGTTTAGAATACAAAGCTGCACTATCTGTGACCTGAAACTGTGAAGATTACACTTCAGAATAAAACCCCAATTTAGGCATTGATTTGTCATGTAAAGAAGAAACAGTTTAGTGATGGGGATGAGAAAGTACAATGAATTTACGTAATTCACCTTGGCATGGAGAGACTGGTCAGCTCCCAGAGATTACTTAGTACTGGTAAATGCTTGTATACACTTGCCTTTCTTGCAGATTATATGTGACAAGAATAGTCTTGGGAAGTTATTACATAAGAAGTACTATTTAAAGTTTATTCATTTTAGTGTAATTCTGACATTTCTAGATTAGAAACAGCCTTCTTGTTCTTGTGGTGTTGGAGAAGCTCAAAGAATCTCCAGTACTGAAAATCTATTCTTGCTTCATAGCTCAGTTTTTCACACTGGGAAGTGACTTGATTAACCAGAGTGCACTACTTCTCCTATTAATAATTTCTATGTGCATCATGCACTGCACACTTCAGAATCTCCTGGTGAAGTCTGATCTCACTGCCCTAACACTCACAAACCCTGTTTTTGTAGTCATGCAGATTTAATCACAGAATATGTGAGCTGAAAGGAACCATTGAGGATCATCCAGTCCAGCTCCTGGCCCTGCACAGGACACCCCAAGAGTCACACCACGTACCCAAGAGTAATGTCCAAATGCTTAAGGAGAAAATAAAGATTGTTTGAAGAAAGACAGCTTGTGCTGAGTACTAAATACCTTAATCAAATCTACACTGGTGTATTACCCAAACAATGGGGTAGGAGGCTTTTCCAAAACAGGTTCAAGCTTTTGTGCCCCTTCCAACTGAGCCATGGTATTTTAAACACCAACACTTCTGATGACAGAACACAATATAACTTCCACAGAAACTGGAGTTCAATTATTAATAGCAGACTTCCTTGTTTGTAGATCAGATCCCAGTGTTAAGGCCCAGAATTTGGTCGAGAGGATGCCATGAGCTTTCACTGTCACCTGGCAGTGCCAGCACATGCATTGAGAGCCACCCTTTGATGCTCTCAGGCTGGGTGCAGGTTGAACACTCCTCCCAGCAGTGCCTCCCAGCTGCTCTGCCCCGATGTGAGGGACACTGCCATGGCTTTCCCAGAGCCACCCCAGTGCTGTCTCCTGCCACTTCCAAGGGTAAATGGGGCAGCAGGAAAAGAATCACAGGTTTTCTGCAGTGCCTCTGGTGAATTTGCAATTTTGGAGGCAGAGGCTAACAAAGAGAACAGGGAACATAAAAAACCTAAAGGCAAGTTCTCTTTAAGAATAACTCTACCACTATTTAAAAATACATGTATGAAATGTTAAAATCCATTTACTTTGAAGAATCTGGCTTTTAAGAAAGCTTCTAAAGAATAATTCTGTGTACAAAGATGCTGTTTTCATGGAAAACCACAACTGTTCCAGGACATGATCTGGTAACCAACTCCTAACCCAAATGCGCACATACAACTCAAGATTAAAAGTGTTCCACAATCTCCTATCTGAAATCAGCACCACCTTTTCTTCCTGTGCCAATTCCATCCTGCTTTTCTGTAGAAAGCGCTTCATCTGCACTATTTGGTCAGAACAAATGTCATAAATACTGCTCAGTGACTTCCATATGAGATATTGTCAAGAGATATCAAAAAATATGCAAGATACCTTTTACTTCCTATCACAGACCAGATAAAGAAATATATTACTGTGTAATATATGTTATGCAACACTTTGGATAGAAGTAATCAGGAATATCACATTTGAAAGGGATAATTAAAAGGAAAATTATAATAAAAAAAGGAATCCTGATTTAAACCTTGGCAGTTCCCATCTGACCAATTGTTTTGAGAAAATGTCCATATCAGTTTGGATCAGTGCAGATTAATTTTACAGTTATTCTAGCAGAGGTGACAAAACCAAAACCCTCACAAGTAGAAGTGACAGATTTCAGTTCTTAGGTGATAAAAACTGCTTAACTAATTTAATACTTCTATATTTTCCAACAACATCCTCTTTAATGCTGCACATTGCTTGTCTTCTAAAATATTATCAAGTTCCTGCTGATGCAAGTGATTCAGGCACAGCCTCCAGAGCATTTTGGCAATTTTACCTCATAGTTATACGTACACAACAGCCCAATTTTGTTAACTCAGCTTAATACCCTCTAAGACCAATTTCTGTCATCTTCTACATTAGATTCAGAGCAGTATTTATTCTCCACAGCACATAACATCATCTCCAGGAGCACAGTCATCAGTGCAGCAAGCCCTCTTGCACCTTCTCCAGGAACATCTGAGAAATCATTGCCTAAAAAGGGCACGGTGTGGGATTAGCGAAAACCAATACTCTCCTTCAGGAATCATATGGAATAGAAAACTACCAAGGCTATGTAGGTAAGAAACCCCAAACTCAAGAAGCCTTACTTGTGCAAGGTTTGAGAGGGCCTGTCATTCTTCTCCAGTTGCCCATAGCAGCTCGTTCTGGCCTCAGGAATGACGGAGTACTTTTCCAGCATGGCCGATGCGGCAGTGGCGATAACCCCGAGGCCATCCCGCACCCGAGCTTCCAAAGTGTAGTCCCACTCATCGTAAGCTGCTGAAATGAGTCCTGAAGGAAACTCCTTGGGAGTGATTTCTGTGTTACCGCTAACCAGGCTGGGAACTATCCAAAAGAAATCATAGCCAGTAAGGCCCAGGGACCGAGCCTCGTCCAGGATGTAGACAGCTTCGTCCTTGGAGCAGTAGAGCAGGATGACAGAGGAATGGATTTTCTTCAGCTGAATTTGAGTCTTGGCATCTCCAAAGGCGGTATCAAGTGTGATGATGTTCTGCATGTCCCAGCCCACAAAACTATTTTCCACAGTGGTCTTAATGACATTGATGAAATCTCGGTATCCAGGGAAAGTGGTGGTCACCAGAGAGAACACGTGCCAGTCATAATCCTGCATGATCTTCAGCATGATAATGGCTTCTTGCTGGATGGAAGCCCCAAACTGGAAGAACGTGGACATCACATCCTAGAACACCAAACACAGCATAAGATGAGCAATTTGGTACAAGGGAAGGGAATAGAATCTATAATTCTTCTGCTCTCGTTCTACCATGGCTACCAAACTTCCATTGCATTCCAATAACTTTCTGTGACTTACCCTATTTGTATCACTACTAAGCCACACTGATAATAAATACTACACATTATTTCATAGTGCATAAGGACAGAGGTGCTTCTTATTTTAACAACATCTACCAGAAATAGGCAGCACAATATATTTTGTTGGCACTAAAATTATAAACATTCCCATTTGTCTATTTTTACTAAGTTGCTGTGAGATACACATTTATTTCTGAATTTTACATTCAACACTGACGTACAATTATTAGAGTGCCAAATATACACAGGAAGCTGTATAAGTCTTTATTTTTATTTTACTTCAGTATTTATTCCTGACCAGTAGTGACAACTTATGTGCATCAATTTCAGATACAGAAAGCATGAACTCCTGGTGAAACAAAAGCTTATGATTTAAAAATAAGATATGAATCATTCCAGGTTTCTTCTGCAGGCTTCAGAGGAAAGACACATACAGTGTAGTTAATTTAAAGAGTTTTATGAACATGCTTGCAAGCTGCTATCCTATTTTACACTTGCAGGGAACAGAAACAGATTAATTGACTTAAGTTTCATGGCAAGGTGGTGTTAAACACACAAATATTACTGAGAGTGCTAACTCAGTTCTGCAAGCTCTGTAAATCTATTCCAAGCAAACTGTCTATGTTTTTTTAATAGAAGATGAGGAGTGTTATTACTTTCTGAGTGTTAAGAAGCTGACACCTGGATTTTTATTGCTTGACAGCAATAAAAGTCTTACAACTTGTGTCAGACCATAAAGACTGATATTGAAGATACAAAATACACACTGGTGGTGGGAATGAAATCATCTGCCATGGCTTCTTTGGTACCTCAGAGATGACATTCTGAGTGCCAGTGCCAGATTTGGAGTGGGTTTGGGTTAAATATAACTGTTATAAAACTCATTTTGGAGAAGACCTGAATTAAGAAGATTTGGTTTCTGAATGCTTTTAGGAGCTGTTTCCTGGTGACCTGCACTAGATACTTAAAAACAAGCAAACAAGCTTTTTATCTGGGGACATTTACAGATAAAAAAACCCAGCATACAGAAAATCTACTCAGACTCAGCATTTAGTGATTTATTTACTGATTTACTATTACAAAGGAAATTAGATATCTAGAGACAATGCCATGAATCCAGCTTTGCTGCAGCTTCCTAATTAAACATAAAAGACATTGTAATGCAAAGTCAATCACTTAAGTTTTCTTCTCCAGCTCTTATCTAATCTAGGTTTCTATTTGTGAAATACCCTGTAAAATGATTTACAGTGAATTAAATAGATTAGATGCACCATATCCTTTAACTCTCCTCCATTTCTGTATGTGGTTTATGGCTACTAATGCAGTGGAATAATTCTTTCACACAATGCATACACCTTGGTCCTCCATGCATGACAGGGAACTTCTCCAATGAGGAAACTGAAGATGAAGTATTTGAGGGCAAAAAACAGTGAACATGGACATCTCCAAGTGTGACCTTTCTAACAAGTAAATACACATTTTTAACCTAGAGCAGTCCTTGACATCTTCCCTGGCAGTGAACAACAGTCCTGTGCACAACACCCTCTGCCACCATTGCAGGAGTCTGACAACAGAAGAAAAGTACTAAAAATAAATCCTTTTCTTCTGTAAACATTTTGTTAGAAAAATACTTTATGAAAGGAGTTCTGACTAAACATTTTTGTAAAGGTCACGCTCATATTTCAAGAATCCTTTTCATATAATTGTGAAGGTGAAGGCCAGTCAAAACGAGGCAATTAAGATCAATTTGTGATCAGAATGGTGAAAAATAACCGCTGTAATTATATGCTGAAAACCAGTTTGGGTTGAAGAAAAGTGGAGACACAAATATCACAAGTGAGATTCTCATCTGAAGAAATCCCATGTAACTGCACTGACTTCATTTGATGCTGTTATAGAGCTGAAGACCTGACTCTGTGTGTTTACAATGGATCTGAAACAGATGGAAGATTACAAGCAAATTGCAGCCCTAGGAACTTCAGCAGATATTTAAATGCCTATAAGGAGAATATTCAAGGACGTATCCATTAAACTGGTGGTAGGGAACGGGGAAGTTTTGTGAAGAAACAGCAAATAAATAAAACTAATTTATCCTTCAAACTATTGTATCCTTAAACATCTACAGAACTGTTCATTTTGGGTTTTTAAGCTCCACATTCTTCCCAAAAAGCATTATTATTCCTCTGCTTTATACAGACTTAAATTACATGTGTGTAACAAAATGCTAAGTTCTACCTTTCTATATTCAGATGCAAACCAAAGTGATGTTTGTAGAAAACCAAAATTATTCAGTTATTTTCATTTAACTGTCATCTTGTCATCTATTCAAACATCCATCTAAATCATTGCTCGAGTAGGAATACAGATGTAAAATCAGAGGTGTTTGAAATGCACACCAGAAATATGTTCTTTTTCTTTCCTCGGTGTTCCCAGCTCTTGAGATTATTGGTGGAGGATGCAAGGAAGTGGTACCACTTATTGAGGGCAAGAATCGTGTTACAGGTGAATTCCACAGATAAATCTCAGAGCATGAAAATCGTTACACTGATATGAGCAAAAATTTAGTTATGGAAGTTGAGGAGAGGATTAAGGCTTGATTTGATTTTTCTGCTTTCACTTCTTAGCTAGATTCTACCACAGCCATCTGAACAAAAAACAGCAATGAGAAGGGAAAGGAAAGAACAAATGCAAACTTTTTGTTTCTCTTTGTCTTGCACATGAACAGTTTATGGTAAAACATCCCCCCATATGTTTCACACCAGAAGGATGTAATCCTTCAATTACTTCTTGCTTAATGTTATCCTTGGATTTTGTACACAACATAACATTCTGGCATTACAGGAGAAGGGCACTTCAATGTTCTCACACTTGGGCACAAAACAGAGCGGCTCTCCCTGCTGCTGTCATTTCATAGATTAATATATTAGAGTAAGTTGCTTTTTAATTAGTGTACTGAGTCTATAAATCTGCCACTGTTGTCAGAATTGCACATTTCACTTCCCCAGTTGCAACAAATTACAGGAATATTTCTCTCAAAACCTCATCCTCAGCTATTTTCATGACATCTTAGTTTCCAGGCTCTGGCTTTTCCATGAGATCAGCGGGGTATATTCACAGCTGTTGTAACAGCTGAGCTAAGCCCTGACAGGAGTTTGTGCCTACTAGGGAAAAAGCTGCAAGAGTTGGTCAGTTAAGGGAAGAAACATTTGTTAAGTAGTATACCTTTTGTTAAATGAAAATTAAATGCTAAACCAGAACAAAACAGAGGCCAACATAAGACCAAATCAATTTTCCACTTGGCAGACTTATCAAGGACAGTTATTTCATTGGTAAGACCATATTATGACAGGAAGCAAAAGCCAATATGAAACACCTTTAAAAGCAATCCAAAGGATGATTTTATTTATCTAGCAACAATATTATTATGACAGGAATACAAGTAGGACTTTAAAGTTATCTTAACCATTTCATTCTTATTTACTCTCTATTTTCCACGGAGATCCAGCAAAAATCATTTTTCTCCTATTTTACACCACATGCCTTTCTTATAAAGATTTAAGGCACGTGGTGCCAGGTCTACATAAACAGTTCAAGGTGTTTCCTATTTAATAAATTATGGTAGTTATTTGGCATTTTTATAAAGACTGGGAAAAATGAAAGCCAGAGATTAGTCATGAATTTAACTGAATAATTTAGCATCACACCAACATTATCCTGAAGAAAATTATTTGTACTGATCTCAAATATAAATTAAAAAAAAAAAAAAGTATCTTGCAATGTGTTAACATGGTAACATTTTTCCTGGATGACTTGAAGGGATGTGTTGATCCCCTGGTAAACATGAAGTGAACTGTGTTTCTCTGTCAGGAATATCCAGGCTTCAGCCACAGGGTGTTCCTTTGTGGAAGGGCACAGACCCCTGCCAAACTTCCAGTGAATGCAAACACTGAAGTGGAGGAACTGAAAGGGAAACCTTTCCTCCCAAGACACCCTGCACATTTCCGAATTCTTAGGTTATTAAATTCCGCCTCGATTCACGAGCAGCAGAGAACACGCAATTCCCAACACAAACATCTCACTGAGGTGCCCAGGGAGAAAACTCCTCCATTATCAATCACCATGGGAGCAATTTGGGGGAAATTATACACAATTTTGTACTCCCGTACAAAGCATAGCAACATGTGAGGGTGGAGGTAATTTACTTATTTTTACCAAAAAAAAAAGCAGAAAACGCTTGCCTGCCAAGGATTTATCACCTGCCTGGCCTCACACATGGCAAAACTGTGTCCAAGCTGTTCCCCTGTCCAGCAACACCTGGGCCCCCAGTGCCAGCCCTCCCGAGAAATGGGCTTTCTGAGAGAGCAGAAGAAAGGATGGAACTTTCCTTCCTCTGTAATTTAACTGATGCAAATGTGCAGCCACCAAATGTATAAAGGTCAACTAAAAGGACAAAACGAGGCCTTACTTTTTATTTTTAAAGTTTGCTCTAGGAGAGGAACATTGAAGTTAGAAAAGGGCAGTAGCAAGCAAGGGAGTACATTATGGCTCTCCAACATCTGACATGTCCCCTTTTATTATTTCAAGGAATAAATATCAGAGAAACATGGATTTCAAAAGGTTAGCACTGGCCTAATCAAGTATGTTCTTTCCCATTTCTAAGAGGAGTCTGCAGGAATTCATTTTGCAAAGACTTCTGTATTTTCAGGTCATGGTTTTATCCTAAGAATTTTGCTAGATAACAGGTGTCATGGGTTTTTTATTCTCCTTAAAAAAACATTTAGTTTTATACTACCTCGATGGCTTATACTGGCCTGCTACGAGAGCTGAAATCTGTCACTAAATCTGTACCAGAATGGCAAAAAAACA